TTAGTAAAAGCGGTTTCTAAGGGTTTTTTTATAGAGTCCTCTAATTTTATTAAAAATAGAAAATATCTAAATTATAATAAAAGTTTATAACCACAATTGTAAACTAAACACATAATAAGAATATTTTCTTAAACACAATAAAACTAACCACTTAAGATCACACAAGGACCATATAAGGAAAAGGTTAAAAAATCTAACCAAATAAACTCGAACAAGAGGAAAATACTAATAGATCTTATCGCATTGGCAAACGAACCACAAAAGGGAATAAAACTATTGAAAGACCACCAATAAACCGCAAATCAAAATCGAGCGATGTGAAAATGCTATCCACAAATGCAAATCATATATCCAAATTTAATTTGATGGTCCAAAGTAGGGAAGATCACCATGATAATAAATAAGTGTCATCTTGATCAGTTGTGATTATGTCATATCCAACCCTGAAAAAGAAAAAAAAACAACAGTGGACTCGGAACAATGCAAGGAACACAATGGTGCGGGAGGTGTCAAAAACGGATGGTCGGATCGTCGTGAATCGACGAAAAACCAACTGAAATCGAGTTAATACCGACGATACTTCCGACTGAAATTAACGACGAACGTAAACGATTCACGATGAAAGGTTTGAGGGGTTTTGTTCATCGGTCGACAACGAACACGATGGTGGTTTCGGTTTATCAAACGGACGTCGAACGGTGAGTAAATCGGAGTTTAAAGGAGGGTTGAGGAAAAGAGAAAATGAAAACATTTTCTGCAGAAACGCAAGGAGAAAGGGTTTGTATTTTCTCTTAAAGAAAAATGGGTAAACCATGAGTTTAGTCACTGAATTTCCTGCACTTCTTAAAATTGTCTACCAACTTTACGATTTTACAATTTAATCTTCAATTTCTTCCAAAATATCAAATTAAATTTACCACTTTAAAATTCCTAAAATTTAGCCCCTAAATTGGGGTGTTACATTGTGATAGGTTGGTTTTTAAAAATTATGATTTTAATATAAATATATATTTTTATTTCCATCACAAATTCTAATTTTCTATATATTTTAATTTTTCATTAGACTTGTGGTATGATAATTCTTTTAAATCGGATCAGATGGAATTCGAATCACACTCTCTAATAGTATAATTTCTCTTTAATCCTTTCGAAAATTGTACATTGTAATTCAACCAATGATAAAAGTACACTCTAACCTTTGAGAAATCAATAATTCAATTCCAGTTTTTACCATGATCAGAAGCTATGTGCCTTGGAACCGATCATGGTGGTGGTCGGAGGAATCCCCTGTTGGTGTTTGAAAACGTTATTCGGATCGATCAATGTCTTAGCTTTCATCAGTCTATCGTAATTATTCAAAAAATATTTTTCATCCCATACTCGAGCAACCTCTACTGCATCTACCGATGGTACATTAGTGTCGATCAATTCCATCACACGTCCAAATCAATGTAATTCACATAAGCAGCTGGAATTCACTATGGCTGCCGTTGAAGGTAAGATTAAGAAATTTGGGAAGAGTTGCTGCGGATTTTACTGGAATCCAGAATAATGCTGTACTTTGACGACAATGGGAAGAGCACAAGACGAAACAAGAGGGAGTTGCCATGGGCGGCAATTCTATGTTTTGTAATTGAAGTTAATGCAGACAAAAATGGCTTCCATTGCGATTTGTTTAATGATCTTAAAGAGTTCGGCAGCTACCAACGAATGAATTGTGACAAAACTGCTTGCATATGTCTGAATTAGATGTTAGATGCATTTCAATCGATTCCATGGTAGCATGGAGTGCGTACACTCTATAGATGCAACTGTCCAAACCTAAAATCTCTAGGAAGAGCAACACTTTATAATTACTTAAATAAACATGATATAAATTAATATTTTATATAAATTCAGTTCAAAACCAATCTACACGGCGTCAACACCTCAACTTGCAGTTGAGCTATAGAGTATTACCGGCCGAGCAGACAATCCAAATCCTCTTATGTTTCATCTCATGTTTTTAATTTGTACAACACAATGTATTCCAATATTTGCTAGGCAAAGACGATGAATTTGACAAATCTGCATAATTGAGTACACGTGTCAAATAAACAAAATTATGATTTAAACAACACTAATTCATTATTCATAAAGATGTGTTCTTATCTCAAACCACATAACGTCTTTTAAAAAAATATTATCAAATAGTTCAACACACTATTTCGATGATCCGAGGAAACTGAGTCAAAGCTGAAAGTCTGAGGCTACTTTTTACAATAAGTCTTCTTTTCAAACTCTAATTATTATTTTATTCTATTTATTATTTTTTCTACTTTATCTTTATCTTATCTTCAAATAATTTTAATTAACTTAAACCCCCTATTTATCTTATTTTTATCTCATCTTTTATTTTTATATTTTTATTTATTTTTTTATCTTAAATTTCATCCCTATTCAAACTCTACCGTTCAAAAACAAGAAGATAATTAAATCAGAAACTGTAGAGTCTCTTTGGGATCGACTCTTACTTTCCACTTGCTATATTTTCTTTTATTTCTTTTGGGATTAAGGAATTATTTTGACCACGTGTCAAATTGGCGCTGTTGCTGGGGACTAACAAAAAGTACTGATTTATTTTTCTTTGTTTTTGATTTATGACCAGAAGAAACCCGAGATAATTAGTAGATCTTGACCTGGAGATCGAAGAACGAGCACGAAGAATCCACGTACAAACTCTTCAGGAAAAAACAAAAAGACAAGAAGAACAAGAGCATAGTTCAAAAACGGAATCAAATTCGTAGACAGACTTTGAAGCAGACACATATAACGAAGATTAAATCCTGATGCCAATAGAAGAAGAAAAAATGATCCGAGAGCTAGTCGCAACTCCTGTCACTCAGATGTCATTATGCATCAATTTTCCTAATGGCGAGACTCTATTTTAGTTAAAGACGAGACTTATTCATCTTTTTAGCACTTTCCACGACCTTCCCAATGAAAATCCGCACAAACACTTACTAGAATTCCACATGGTTTGCACTAGCATGAAACCACATGGAGTTACCGAAGATCAAATTAAATTGAGAGCTTTCCCTTTCTCTTTAGCCGCCTTGGCTAAAGATTGGTTAAAGTCAACTTTTACTATTCAAACGTAAATAAATATTATTTTAATTTGAAATATTCTAAAGGATATAATAATCTTTCATATTCAAAGTTAAATAGGTAACAAATAACTTTTAATTTGACATATTCAAAGAATAATTATCTTACTAATATTCAAATTAAAAATATCTTTTAATTTGTAATATTCAAAAGGAACATGAGTTTAATTTAGATATTAAATCTATCAATGAAATTCACTCTTTTCCAACATACATCGTATTCACAATTGGGAAACCATAGTGGTTCGTTAGGATCTACGCGAGAGTTGAACAAAGATTTGCAAAATGGTAGAGAAGCGGTCTCTTCGACAGATTTTTGTTGCAAAACAAGCGGTGGACAGAACAGAAGACTTCATTGTACGATGGTTGGCAGGTCCTTCTCGATGGTTGTTTTATGTAAAATTTGTCTTCAATAATTTCCAAATACTTGTTGTTTAGTGTCTTAACCCTCTTCTGCTGTCTCTTTTTCGTATTCCATTGTATTTTGGCTTTTTCTTTATGTTGTACTTGGATGTATCCTCACATTTGGCGGGGCTATAAGAAATCTTAGATTAAAAGTTATTGTATTTTCATTTGAATATGACTTGCTTTCCACGGTATGCGAAGACTCTTAACGCGGACTTGGGTAGAATTTGCTTTTATTGATTAAGAAAACAAAACAATTTTAATGTTATCCCGTAGCTTGTTTATTTAGTAAAAGCGGTTTCTAAGGGGTTTTTTATAGAGTCCTCTAATTTTATTAAAAATAGAAAATATCTAAATTATAATAAAAGTTTGTAAACCACAATCGTAAACTAAACATATAATAAGAATGTTTTATTAAACACAAGAAAACTAGCCACTTAAGATCACACAAGGACCATATAAGGAAAATGTTAAAAACCTAACCAAATAAACTCGAACAAGAGGAAAATACTAACAGATCTGACCGCATCGACAAACGAACCACAAAAGAGAATAAAACTATTGAAAGACCAACAATAAATCGTAAATCAAAATCATGCTATGTGAAAATGCTATTCACAAACGCAAATCATATATCCAAATTAAATTTGATGGTCCAAAGTATGGAAGATCACCATGATAACAAATAAGTGTCACATTGATCAGTTGTGATGATGTCATATCCAACCCTGAAAAAAAACAACAGCCAAGCAACAGAAAACATGCCATAAAGGCAGTGAAAAACATGCCATAAAGGAAAAAGAATATGAGCCAAAAAGGCAGAATTATTAAGAATAAAACAAAGAAATTAAAAAGGCAAAAGAAAAATAATGAATACCGACGGTCGACACCCAATACCAAGATTAGTGTCAACGCAAAGATGAAGAAGAAAAGAAACTAACGACGGCTTACGGTTGAGGAAAAAGATAGAAAAAGAGAAAATCAATTTCAAGTTAGATTATTATGATCAAATTCAATTTATAATTTGAATTGAGATTTTCTTAGAACTAATTGAAAATAATAAAGTATATATTAAAAAATCATAAACTATTCGTATTGCATATTAAAGTATTTAAATCTAATTCTTGTAATAATTTAAATATTCAAATTACTCAAATAATACGTTAAGAAACAAGGTTTGTAGTACATGGTTTGAATAATTGGAATAACAAAATAAAAATTAAGATGGTAAGTTACATACGACATGAAGTAGAAAACGATATAGAGAAAAAGTCATTGAATCGTGAAATATTGGTCCAGACATGAAGTCTTAAAACAAGTATATTAGTTCTGCTCTTCAACTTGAGACTAAGTCTTGCATGTTAATTCTTTTCCAAATTATGACTCAAAGGATACCCTGCCTAAATCCATGTTATTTAAAGACAATGAACTAACAATAGAGAAGCATTATACCCACACCCAACCTTATGGAAAAAACTCCCTTCCTCCCTCCTCTTATGTTTCTGCTGCTATTTGCAACCTTTAGTGCTACTTTCTCTGCCAACATCACCACTGATCAATCTACCCTTTTAGCCTTAAAATCCCATATCACGCACGATCCGCACAATCTTCTAGCAACCAACTGGTCCACTTCTACCTCTCTTTGTGATTGGATTGGTGTCACCTGTGGATCCAGACACCACAGAGTCACTGCTCTGAATTTGTCAAGCATGGATCTTACAGGCACCATCCCATCTCAATTGGGAAATTTATCTTTCCTCGCCTCCCTCAGCATTTGTCATAATAGTTTCCATGGCTCTTTACCTATTGAGTTAACTAATTTGCATCGTCTGAAATATTTGAACTTTGGTAACAACAGCTTCAGTGGAGAAATCCCATCATGGTTTGGTTCTTTTGCTAAACTTCAAGGCTTGTTTTTGTACATGAACAACTTCACTGGTGTTATCCCGTCCACTCTTGGAAATTTGTCAAAACTTGGAAAGTTGAGCTTGTTTAACAACAGCCTCCAAGGGCAAATCCCCATGACTCTGGGAAACCTTTCAAACTTGGAATGGTTATATCTGGAAGATAATTCTCTTTCAGGTCCCATACTTTTCTCAACCATAACTTTATTTTCACTATTAAAAAGTTTATTTTATAACTGACGTTGTCATTGAAAGCCATCTACTCTCACTTGAACAATTTCAATTTTTTCTTCATTTTTTGTTATCTAATTTTTATATACAATTGAATCATCAACCAATTATTTACTATCAAATTATGGCATATTAAATGAATAAGTTATAACCTACATATTCCAATTATTTAATACCAATTATTTTATAACTAACGTTGTCATTGCAGGCCATCTACTCTCACTTGAACAATTCCAATTTTTTTCTTCATTTTTTGATACCTAATTTTTATATACAATTGAACCATCAACCAATTATTTAATATCAAATTAGGTCAGACTAAATGAATAAGTTATAACCTACATATTGAAATAAGTTGTATTGTTAGTCTTCTCTTGATCAAATACCTTAGAACTATTTTTATATTTCTGTAGTTTTTAAAATTTTTAATCTCTTAATATAGAAATACTTTTGGCTATGAAAAAATAAATTAGTTTCACATTTCATACTTCTACTACTTGAATATGTTACTTAAAAAATTGTATGTAATATTGTCACATTTACTACTTGATTTATTTTTTTTGGATGCTTCAGTTTTTTTGGACCTGATACTTCCAATTATTTGGTGCTTTCATAAGTACTAAAACAATTTACCAAAAAATTTATTTTATTTTTAAAACGGGAAAGAAATGCAAAACTTATACATATAGGGCTCAACAAAAATATAAGGATCTTCTATTAAAATATTAATATTTTTTTTACAGATTTATTATATATTTTAGATAAAATTTCACTAGTGAATGAAAATTTGAATTCTCTCGCGTACATAATTTTTTTCTAATAACGATTTCTTGGGTAAAGATGTGTTTGGATTGAATATTTTCAACTATTTGCAGCTTTCTTAAGCAGTGAAAAAAATTTGAACAAAATTTTCAAGTTTAAGAAAATAAAAAGGGAAAGAAATGGAGAACAAATGCCTCTAGTGCTCAACATAGAAGATATGGGTTTGTTAGAAAATTTATTAATAAATTTTGATCGGTTTACTTATATGTTTGTGGTGAAATTCCATTAGTTATTACAAACTTTACTTATCTTGAGAATATTAGTCTTTCTTTTAACAACTTTAAAGATATAATATCATGTTTTTTAGATTTTATATCTTTCTCGATCTTGAATATATTTTCAATAGTTTAAAGCTGTTTTATAACTAACAATCTCACCGCAGGTCATCTAGAGTCGAGAATATTTTATAACCTTTCTAAATTGCAAGAATTAAGCTTGGATGGGAACCATATTTCTGGTAGCATTCCCAATAGTTTATACAAGTGCAAAGAGTTGAGGTATTTATCACTGTAGAACAACTCTATGGAAGGAAGTATACCTATAGAAATCGGAAATTTGACTATGCTCCAATCTTTGATTCTTGGTTACAACAACTTCAAAGGTAAAAAATTCCTCATTTGCATTCCTTTCTCTTTTATTTTTATTAGATGAAAGTTAGTAGTTAATTCGAATTATAAAATGTATAAATCAGTGATCAAATTAAAATGACAGCGAATAGGGGGTTAATTTAGAATAAATAAAAAAAATTTATAGTGACCATAGTGCAAAAATACGACAGAAATGGAGGGAACTATAGGTGATTAGCCCCTAAAATAGCTACCAAAAGTGATAACATGTAATACTAGGGGACTTGACGCGTGGTTAATCCAAAATTTTAAAATAGACAACCCCACCTAAACTAAACAGAAAAACACGTGAAATGTTACCAGCTTCCTTTCTTCTTCTTCAGCGTGCGGCGCTCCTCCAAGCATCCAACCCAAATGTTGCCGGCCCCGCTCAACCGCCACTTAACCACCGTATTCGATGTAACTCGGCTATACAACGGCCGGGTAAAGACCTAAACCAACTCAAGTTCTTAACTTTCTCCTATCTTCAACAAAACCTCAACCCAAAGCCACCCCATCGGGCCTTATACCTAAGCCAAAATAAAGAACCCCTTTTCTATTCACTAGACCGAGAGCTCCAAAATGGCTCGATCACCGTTTGAACCAACCTAAACCGGCGACCAACAACTACTCACGCTCCTTCCTGACACACGGCGACCGACCACCAACCAAGGCAAACATCCTGCCCTCTTATTAACTTTACTTCTATATGGTTTGAGAAATAAAGAAAGTAGAAAACCCATTGAAGGAAAGACCAAGCCTTTTTTAGCATACCAAAACGGGGGTTGCTTTTGTTTGGATTTTATACCCCTCTCAAAATTACAAATAGTACAAATAAGAGTTTGGTTCTTAGTCATCACCAAATTTACAATTTGGAATTTTTAAATTCCTTGAATAAATATATGGCCACTAAAGCAACTTAAATATTTGCTAAAAATTCATGGTCAAAGTCTCTACACACCTTAAATGTAGAATTTCACGAATTCTTTTTCGTTCATGTCATCAGTGGCACTTGAGTTAATCGATGGACGACCATCTTCAAACTAATTCTCAAGTGTCTTGAATCCAATTTTAATTTTCGGATAAAATTAAGGTATTACACTTTTTTCAATCATGACTTTATTTTTACTAGTAAAAAATTATTTTATAACGTTGCATTGCATGCCATCTACTCTCACTTGAACAATTCCAATTTTTTTCTTCATTTTTTGTTATCTAATTTTTATATACAATTGAACCATCAACCAATTATTTAATATCAAATTTAATTTTACTTTTCAGAAGTTATTTTGACAAATTATTTTGAAAATTTTAATTTTACTTTTTAGGTACAATTCTACCGGTTATCGGAAATATAATATCTCTAAAAATTATTTATTTTTCGAATAACAACTTGACATGTATAATATAACTTTTCTTCCTCTTTTTTTTGTTATTTTGTTATATATTTATTAATTAGTTATGAGAATTTTTGTCATTTGACTTGTCCTTTTGTATTCAAACATAAATCATTTAAATATTAAACTCAGATAAATCTATTCTAAAATGATTTAAATTTAAAATATCTTATTTTTTTCGTCAAATTATTTTAACAAATTTAATTTTACATTTCAGGTACAATTCCATCGGTTATCGGAAACTTTTCAAACTTGGAATGGTTATCTCTGGGTCATAATTCTCTTTCAGGTTCCATATTTTTCTCAATCATGACTTTATTTTCAGTAGTAAAAAGTTTATTTTATAACTAACGTTGTCATTGCAGGCCATCTACTCTCACTTGAACAATTCCAATTTTTTTCTTCATTTTTTGTTATCTAATTTTTATATACAATTGAACCATCAACCAATTATTTAATATTAAATTAGGGCAGACTAAATGAATAAGTTATAACCTACATATTGAAATAAGTTGTATCATTAGTCTTCTCTGAATCAAATACCTTAGAACTATTTTTATATTTCTGTAGTTTTTAAAATTTTTAGTCTCTTAATATAGTAATACTTCTGGCTATGAAAAAATAAATTAGTTTTACATTTCATACTTCTAACTACTTGAATATGATACATAAAAAATTGTATGTAATATTTTCATGTTTACTGTTTGATTTATTTTTGGACCTGTACTTCCAACTATTTGGAGCTTTCAAAAGTACTAAAACAATTTAACAAATTTTTATTTTTATTTTTATTTTTAAAACGGGAAATAAATACAGAACATATAACTAAAGCGCTCAACAAAAATATAAGGATCTTCTATAAAAAAATATTAATAGTTTTTGACAGATTTAATTATATATTTTAGATAAATTTCATCGGTAAATGAAAATTTGAATTCTCTCGCGTACATAAAATTTTCTAATAACGATTTCTTGGGTAAAGATGTGTTTGGATTGAATATTTTCAACTATTTGCAGCTTTCTTAAGCAGTGAAAAAAATTTGAATAAAATTTTCAAGTTTAAGAAAATAAAAAGGGAAAGAAATGGAGAACAAATGCCTCTAGTGCTCAACATAGAAATTAGGGGTTTGTTAGAAAATTTATTAATAAATTTTGATCGGTTTACTTATATGTTTGACGTGAAATTCCATAAGTTATTACAAACTTTACTTATCTTGAGAATATTAGTCTTTCTTTTAACAACTTTAAAGATATAATATCATGTTTTTTAGGTTTTATATCTTTCTCGATATTGAATATATTTCATTAGTTAAAAGATTTATATAACTAACAATTTCACCGCAGGCCATCTAGAGTCGAAAATATTTGATAACATGTCTAAATTACAAGCATTAAGCTTGACCGAGAATCAAATTTCTGGTATCATTCCCAGTAGTTTATACAAGTGCAAAGAGTTGAGGTATTTATCACTGTGGAACAACTCTATGGAAGGAAGTATACCTATAGGAATCGGAAATTTGACTATGCTGGAACAGTTGTATCTTGGTCGCAATAACTTCAAAGGTAAAAAATTTCTCATTTGCATTCCTTTCTCTTTTATTTTCATTAGATGAAAGTTAGTAGTTAATTCGAAATATAAAATGCATAAATCAGTGACCAAATTAAAATGACAACAAAACAGGGGTTAATTTAGAATAAATAAAACAAAAATAGTACATCTTTTAACTTTTTATTAGGCCTAACTTGTGCAACATATATAATGTCTTGAATTGATGAAAATAATAAAACGCATTCATGTCTTGTAATTGGATGTGCAGATCACTAAACCAATTGTACATATTTCTAAAATTACCTAAATTCAAAATTATAAACATAAAGATACTCAATCACACTACTATAGACATAATATAGTTATTTCGTCAAATTATTTTGACAAATTTAATTTTACATTTCAGGTACAATTCCATCGGTTATCGAAAATATAATTTATCTAGAAGTTATTGATTTTTCGAATAACAACTTGACAGGTATAATATAATTTTCCTTCATCTTTTTGTTGTTATTTTGTTATATATTTATTAATTATTTATAAGAATTTTTTTCATTTAACGTGTCCTTTTGTATTAAAAAATAAATCATTTAAATATTAAATTCAAATAAATCCATGATTTAAATTTAAAATATCTTGTTTTTTCAACTCGAAATGAACTAAACCAAATTTCCTTGATATTTCCAAAATTTGGTAATTTTTTGCGTGTGATGTGATATTTCCTAACTATTGGAAAGTGTATCGATTTGCAATTGTCATCTTTTTGTTTAATGAGAAGAATATTTAAAATCGTTTTAAAAACAGTTATATATTCACTACAATTCAGGCTCCATAAATGGTATTGTAAGAAAGGCCTGATGTTGTTAAGTAAATTAACAAACATTCCTCATTATGCAATTTGAGTTCCCTTATGGATCTCACTTTGGGGAATAATGGTTTGGATGGAACAATTCCAGAGTGCATTGGAAACTTGAGTTCTTCCCTTTTATCCCTTGACCTACGGATGAATAATTTTCATGGTAAAATACCTGAAAATTTTGTTGAAGGTTGCAGCTTAAAAAGTTTTCTAATCAGCAACAACCAATTCGAAGGGTCACTGCCACGATCTTTGGGTAACTGTAAAGAACTGGAGTTTCTTGATGTTGGGAACAACTATTTAAGTGACACTTTCCCAAATTGGTTAGGAAATTTGGATCAGTTACAAGTGCTAGACTTGAGAGAAAATAGATTCTATGGTAAGTTGGATAGCTCTGATGTTACCTTCACTCGTTTACGTGTCATTGATCTCTCTCATAATAACTTCGGTGGCTACCTACCTGTAAATTTTTTTGAAAATTTGCATGCCATTAGAGAAGGGAATGGAAAGAAAGTTAAACCAGAGTACATGGAAGATGTAATAGCTGGTGGAACAGTATTTATTTGGCCAGGTTTATCTTTTACAACAAAAGGGTTGGAAACAGAGTTTGAAAAACTATTAACCATATGGACAGCTATTGACTTCTCCAGCAACCAATTCTCCGGAGAAATTCCTAAAACAATTGGAGAACTTCATTCACTCATTGTCCTAAATCTCTCTCATAATTGTTTAACAGGTCCTATCCCATCATCATTAGGTGATTTGTCGGAACTTGAATCATTAGATCTATCATCAAACAAGCTCCATGGAAGAATTCCAACAGAGTTTACAAATCTTGGATTCCTAGAGGTGTTAAACCTTTCTCATAATAATCTCATGGGACCCATTCCTCAAGGCAAACAATTGGAGACTTTCAGTAATGATTCCTACATAGGAAACTTGGGTTTATGTGGATTGCCATTATCAAAAAGCTGTGATAATGATGAGGGAACTCCAGCCAAATTCGATAGAGATGATGATGATGATGGATTGAATTGGAAATTTTCTATACTGATGGGGTAAGGATGTGGGTTGGTGTTGGGATTAAGCATGGGATACATTGTACTCACAACTGGAAAACCATGGTGGTTCATTAAGATCTACGTAAGAGTTCAACAGAGATTTATAAAAAAGGGAACTCTTTGACGGATTGTTGTTGCAGACCGAGCGGTGGAGAGAGCAGAAAACTTCATTGCATGGTGGTAGGCAGGCCCTTTTCTGTAGCTGTTTCATATCTATTGCTGCGTGGGTGCTTTTTTGTATGTATTATGTTTTCCTGCATCCTCTCCTATAGCAGCGTTCCCTTGAGTATTTCCACCTTGTAATAACTATCTTAATCGGCATTTTCTGGGTGTTTCACTTTCGTTTTAATAAATTTATCGTGGGTTAATTTCTTTCAAAGATAGAGTATGGCAAGAATCAAGGTAGGTAATAAGAATTGAAATGAGGGATGCCTGTGGTGGCCCCAATGAATGGATTGAAAATGATAAAATGTTGGTCTTCTGCAGAACATATCTAATAATATTGAAACAGAAGCAATTGGACTGAAGTTTCAAAACTTAATAATTTAATGTTAAGACAACAATTTCCTTCCATCGAATTTATATAGGAACCTGTTGCTTAAGTAAATGGTTTTTATAATTTATCAATTGTTTTTACAGGAAGATTTTTCCAAACAGGACCATCATGCGGTCCTGATTTCCCCGTTATTCGCAGCTTCAATCGTAGTCATAGCTTCAGGGATCTATTTTCTGCATTCCGTGTCATAGGTTAGCAGTATCTTATTTTGGGAAGAGAAATGCCTCTGGATGGGTTTATAAGTAGGCGCAGTGTACGTTTGTTTTCGTTTATATTCGTGTAAGTACGTATCTTCGACATGTTTTAGGATGTGATTTACGAAGAAGACCTGATTTCAATGCCATGATGGCCTCCTCCTTTGATCCAAATATAACCTAAGTTTTCGTGGTAGGTTTACCCTTGTAACTATCAGCTGATTTCATATCATATAATTGGTTTTTCTTCCATGCTTCAATTAGTCTCTCAAACTTACGATTTCATGATAACTTAATTTGAAAATTTTACCAGATTGACAAGTTGACTGTTTTGCTAATTCCATCGATCAAAAGAGGTATATATATATAATCATCCTATATGTATACATAATTATATACGCATATACAATCATGTCTGTTGACTCTGATCTTAGCTTGGTTTTTGCAGTTGATAATAATCCCATAATGAATGCAGAAACCATTGCAGGAAGAATTTGCCAAGTGCTTCAAAGAAAGTGGAATATCTGAACTTGTTCGTCGATATTATATACGTTGCTCCGATTCTTCATTTTTCATGAAATATACATGACCGATGTAATATCGGATATGAATATCGATATATTACTCTTTTAAGAGTCCTCCAAATACTCAAATACTCATATTAGACATTTCTCAGTGCACACTTGCATTCAATATTTTCATCCCAATCCAAATAACATGACACCGTGAAATAAATTTCAACACAATTGAAATAAGAAGCTTACAGATACAACTGAAAATGAAAAAAAAAAGTTACAGATGTAGTGTTTGAACTTTAAATTTATTGAATATCATCCGAATCAATTGAGTTAAGTTCGGATTTAGAATCTTCAATTCGCTCGGATTCCTAATCCTTTGATTTATTTTCATCAAGATATTGTTGGTAGATAGAAGAAGCAAAGCCCCAAAGAGTGAACAACATTGCCAATATGTCACACCCCAATATGGGGTTAGATTTCTTTATGATTAAATGTTTGATTTAAGTGTTAGTCAAATTAAAATTATGGGTCCACTATGAAAATTAAGGATAATGGCATTACCACTATGGTTGGAATTCAATGTTTTTAGCTCACTTTCGGCCAGGTTTGTATCCACCAAAGCATGATATCTATTAAATAAACTTATTGCTCTGACTTTTCCCTAAAAAACAATCTCCTTGCATATAATAAATAAATGGCAGTCATTGTCAAGGAAAACTAAAATATCCATAAAATAAGGATTATTCATCCACTTGCATTGAACAATTTTCTCAAGTGTTTGGTGGGATTGAAACTGTGTCCTGCAATAATAGATCATGTCTTTGTCAACTAGTCTAGGGTACTATTTAATACTAAATTATTAAAATTATTTTATAAAACTATAGATGACAATAATCATCTTCTCCATTGGGGGGAAACGAAACCAGTACCCAAAAGCACCTATTGAAAACGATCAAGAGGAGAAGAAATTTGGTGTCGAGCTCGCAACATCAAGGTGGAGGAGCTTGTGTTGAGTTAGGATAATTTGGATTAGATGAAGAATTGGAACGATTAAAGAGGGATCAAAGTGTTTTACTAGCTGAGATCGTGCGATTAAGGCAGCAACAACAGCATTCAAGGTACCAAGTTGTTGCAATGGAGGGAAGGTTACAGAACACAGAAAGGAAACAACATCAGATAATGACATTCCTTGCTAAAGCTCTACGAAACCCAATTTTTATCCAGCAATTTGCACAGCAAAGACAGGTTCATGGGGTCGAAATCGGGCGAAACACTGACTACCAGCGAGTCCCAGCTTGGAGAATTTGCAACAAGAAGTCCTCCCTGTGGTGGTCGATAATGATCAAGTCGAGGAACAAGAAGAATTGGCTACCATCGAGTTAGAGATCAAGACGTTTTTCACATCCACCATGGACAATGAATCTAACAGTGGAATCATCGAACTAAGAAGCTTGGAATTAGTTTTCTTTATCAACAATCAAACATTAAAAAAAATTAAGGGAAAACAAATAGGAATATGATCTGAAGACAAAGGAAAATGGTGTTATGATTCCAACATGAAAAATCACTTGGGTGGTGTCTAGGAAAATAAAGTGGTAAATCACAAGATATGTCACTCAAGTGAGGTGAGATCTTTACCTTGTCTTTTAGTTTCCAAGTGGTTATAGTTATGACGTAATAGTTTTTAAAAGATCAATTTAGTCACTAATTTAAGTAATTTACTATTTTGATGGCAACATTAGTTATCAATTTTACCAATTGAGTCCTCAAATTATTATTTAGATTCTAATAAGTTATTTTTATGGCAAGGGAAATTATTTGGATGTGAGTTAGTAATTTTGATTGCTTGGATCATGAGGAAAATATTGGAAGTTGAAGTAAAGATAGAGGGCGTTCAAATGGAATTTATATGATCAATCAGTATGGTACGAAAATCGAGGTAATACTTTACTACCTCTTTATGCTTTATGGAACATGTGAATATTGGTAAATGCATGAATGAAAATGTTTGGTAAAGATGTGTAATTAATGAAGTTCTACACTTGATTCGAATATAGTAAAAATTTCGATAACTGAATATGGATCAAATGACTAATATAAGAAATTGAAGAACAGTTTGAATTCAATTACAAGTTATGAGATTAAGTGATATAGGAATTAGCACTGGACTTTGAAATTTTATAAAGTATCTCATTTGATAAGGTATGGAAATACTTCGATTGGGTAAAATTACGAAATTATCCTTATATTGGAAAATGATAAGAATTGTCCCTGTAAGTTAATTAGTAAATCTGAAAAGACATATTGATCTGATAAAACTACTGATGTGCATATGAAATTGTAGTTTTGTATAGGAAATGTGAATAACCGATTTTTAAAACCAAGAGGGTTTGTGCAAGATACTAGAAGTCTGTTAAGGAATCATTTTGAGATCAGAGAATGTTAGGGAAAAAATTAACCATAGGATCTCTAAATCATAGTTATTTTCGTTAAGAGTTATACCGAAATTATTTGGGTTAAGAAATTATGAAAATGCCCTTGAAATGTAAAAATAGTCCGAGTTGACCCTGAATAAGAAAGTACTATGAGGATTCGTACTTAACTCGATTAAGTACGTATTTGATTGTTAAGATCCTGACTTAGTGCAGAAAATTCCTGATAACCTGTTTGTAACTTCTGAGAAGGCAATTGACCTGAAAATCTCCGAGTTAAGAATAAATTATCGATGGTGCTCTTCTGTCAGAATTGTCTGTATAGAACGGAATAGATAATAAGTCTGAATTAAATAATAAGATCGGACGGAAGGAATTGATTAAACTACGTGGGGTCTATAAAATGACCAAAATACCCTTGTGATGGAAATGACTCAAGAGTATCACCAAGTTCAAGAATGAATATATATCCTCAAGCTTTGAAATGAATGGAAAAACATTGAGCACCAAAATGACTAAAATGCCCTTATAGACTATACTAAGTAAATGTCTTGGATTAATTAAGAAATTCTAATAAACATGAATGTTGTACTACTTTTTAATGTTATTAAACGCAATTTAAGTCGGTCAAACAATGATAGTGCTATATCATTACTTGAATGGCATAGGTACCACTTGAATGCTAGTTCGTCTCCTCAAGTTTGGATTGATGATAATTATGGAAGTACTCAACTCAGCTCAACGCTAGAGCGCATTCGATATTAACAAGTGGATATTTGTGAGATAAATCAATCACGAATACCAAAATGATTTTAGTATATGACCAAAGTGAAATGAACGGAAGTAAAACATATATCCGAAACTCAGAAGTGTCTGAATTAATCTGGAAAACTCTGAAGTAACCGAGATAGACTTGCGTGCTAAACGAACTAAGTAACCTCAATGACTGAGGATTTAATAGGTGATTGGATGAGTTTGGAAACACTGATAAATATATATGATGATTTGTCTTTATGGGTCATGAACCATGAATTATGTACATCTATATTTTCTAATATCATTGAAACATGGAAATGAAATAAAGACCGTAGGAAGATCTTATGGACAAGAATTGTTGGTATTAAAGAGTGAATACTTGGAAAGGCAATAAATTGACGGGTCGACACATATTAGTTCTGAGAATTGTTCAGTTCGAATAGTTCAATAAACCGATCCATCAACATGAATTGTAATGTCTAGAATCTCCGTTTCTCTTTTATTAGCTCAAATCACTCCGGTTATTCCTGAACGCTTTCTTGATGCACATGAATCATAGTGGGATTCTACAGTATCAACTTTAAGTGTCCGATTAGATCGGTTAGTAATCGATTCTCTCCAATATAACCTCGTTCCTGTAATCTGATCAAATTGCACGAGTTTCATGTTATCCTTACCGATAATTACAAAAGGCCTATGAAAAATACTTGGATCCTCTAGCGTGTTCCCTATGTACTAAATAATTGTTTTATCTGTTTTGAAATATGGTACACTCAGATCTATGGTTACTGTTTTATGATACACCGACTTACCGGTGATAGTTTATGGACTATAACTGATATATGATTATTGGTTTTCACTGATATATGATAACGATGATTACAGACCTAATGTGACTCTTGGGTAGGCTCACGGGCCCCAAGATGCTCCATTAGGTTGGCTCCCTTTTGCCGTGTTCTTAGGGTAAGCCCTATGGACTTACGGGCCTAAGGATACAGTCCCAAAGCCTATCCTTAGGTGGCTTCCTTTTTGCTGTGTGCTTAAGGTAAGCCCTACGGACGTAGTTCTGAGGAACTACGGATGGTGTACATGAAAAGGATTTAAACTACGAGTTTCAAAAGTGAAACTTCATTATGATTTTATGATGATTTACTGAACTATTACTCATTTATTGTACCTACTATGATTTTATCGTACTGTTGGAACACACTAGACATCCTATTCGATCTCATGAAAACGTGATACTATGAATGCTTCCTATGAACTGTGATCTTCATGGTTTCTACTAGATGAACTACTAATGGAATCCCAAATTATCTTGCAAACTGGTATACGTTTGATTCAATAAGAAAATTATGGTTTCACATTTATCTACATGTCCTTTAGCATCACTTGGTAGATCTGTATTACTGAGCTTTCCGAAGCTCACTCTATTACTCACCATTGCAGGTTAAATGAATTGTACCAGTACATCTATCAACATCAGTAAGGGAGTTCTTCCGGGGTTGTTTGCAGAGTACGGTACATGTGATTAGGGAGCATGTAGATTGTATTTTGTTTTTATATACAAGTCTGAAAATCTATTTTATTTCTGGATATTGATAAATCATTTTATAAGTTACATGTTTTAATAAAAGTTTTAAATTTTCTGCTATTTTTATAGTGGGTCGCTCCGGTGGCCCTAATGTGACACTCCAGATCGGATCGGGTTATCCGCATCGGTCTGAGGGGGTTACATTTAGTGGTATCAGAGCTATGGTTTGAGTTAAAAATTTTCAAGATAGACCGGCCGGTCGAATGTCAAAATATGTCTGATCAGTAC